GTAGATCATCTGAGGTCAGGAGTTTAAAACCAGCCTGGCCAACATGATGAAACTCCATCTCTACTAAAAATACAAAAAAAATAGCCAGGTGTGGTGGGTGGCACCTGTAATCCCAGGTACTCGGGAGGCTGAGGCAGGAGAATCACTTGAATCTAGAAGGTGGAGATTACAATGAGCCAACACTGTGCCACTGCACTCTAGCCTGGGCAACAAGAACAAAACTCCATCTCAAAAAAGAAAAAAAAAAGACAACACAACAACAAAAATTACTCAGTGCCTGGTACCCTCTAGCCCCTGAGAACACAGTGGGTGACCGGTGGTGGTGATGCAGGCACTCACTAAGGCAGCAGAGTGAATACAGACTGCAAGTCAAATTTGGGAGTAAGGACATGAGCTCTGTTTTGTACAAGGTGAGTTTGGAGATGTCTGTTAGGCTCCCAAGAGGAGCAGTCCCAGCGGGCTGGACACAGGGAGGGGTCTAGAGATGACTTTGGAAGTGTTAGTATTCATACAACAAGGGAAGTCCAGCAGCAGGTGAGATGGCCCCTGAAAGTGTGTATGAAACAGTGGTCTCTGGTGGGGGGTAGGTGGGGGGGGCACCCTGGGAGGTGTTTGGTAAAGTGTAGGTCACCAGTGGTCAGAGTAGAATAGCCCAAAAATTCGAGGCCTGGTCTGAATAATGGGGAATACCTGTTCTGTGATTATCTGAGCCTAACTCCTTGGTACATTAAAAACCCAAGTATTTTTTTGCATTACTATAATATAAACCAAAATCTCCAGAAATGCACCTCTTGTTTGAATTGAGGAACTACTGGATGTTTTGTTTGGAACTTTGCTGAGAGCTGCTCAGCGATGGGGGAAATCATCTCTCTGACAGCAACTCCGCTCGCCCTTGAGACCCAAGTCAAGACCCCTGCAGCAGCTGCATTAGCAGATCATCACGTTCACAGTGACTTGTATTTGCACAAACATACTCATTCGTCAACTATTTCAATGTGTCAGATATTAAGTGGCAGCACAATTCTGTTAAATGATCTTCTCATCATACCACTTACTCATTCTAAGCAGGCGCTGACTGTCGCAGTCTATCTTCCAGTGTAACCACACCCAGGCATTTGTGTATTGCCATATTATTTCATTAGAAGTCATTTCCCTGCTTTTTCTCCTTCATATTGCAATTAGGGTATTATGTTGATTTTTTACGAATTATGTGTGTAGGAAGATACATTACCCTTGAATTTCAGCTCAGGGTGGAAAAGGACATATTAAAAAATATTTGTTATAAAAAGAGGGTACTGGATCAAGCAAGCACTGAAAACTCACTGGTGTGAGCAAGAAGCCCCATATAAGGGGTGGCAAGGGCAGAAGGAACCCACAGCAAATGAAACAGAACGAGAGCGGTTGGAGTAAACCACAACACAGAGCCTAGAAGCAAGGAATTTCTAGAACGGTGACCAACTGGGCAAATGCTGCCGGGAGGTAAGACAGGGACTGGAGGTATGGATAAGGGGTTGCATGTGCCCCTGGTACAGCTGGGGTTGGGGGGCACAGCCAAGCTACTGGCTAGATCTGAGGTTTTAGGGTTTTCTGGCCAGGAAGGCGTGGAGAAAGAAGAACCTGAGGAAAAGTTGAGGACAATGGCTGCACAGACAGCCTAGGAGCCACCTGGAGATGGACAAGTGAAAACAGGAAGGCTCAGAGAATGGAAAGAGCAAGATCAGAGGACTCACCACACCAAGTGACCAAGGGAGAGTCAGGATGGACAGGGACCATGGTCAGAGTGAAACCTTAGAAATATTGACTCCCAGCCAGGTGCGGTGGCTCACACCTGTAATCCCAGCACTTTGGGAGGCTGACCGAGGTTGGTGGATCACTTGAGGTCAGGAGTTCGAGATCATCCTGGCCAACATGGCAATACCCCATCTCTACTAAAAATACAAAAATTAGCCAGGCAAGATGGTGCATGCCTGTAATCCCAGCTACTGGGGAGGCTGAGGCAGAATTGCTTGAAACCAGTGAGGGAGGTGGAAGTTGCAGTGAGCCGAGATTGTGCCATGACACTCCAGCCTAGGCAACAGAGTAAGAATCTGTCTCAAAAAAAAAAAAAAAGGAAAAAACCATGTTGACTCCCAAGGCAGAGCTGTCCTGAATAGACAAGCCCTCAAGTTTGGCTGCAGGAGGCTGTGGGCTGAGGGGGCACTGGAGAAAAGGGGCCCAGCTGCTGCAGGTCAGCTACCAGCCAAGTCCCCAAGGGTGATGGCACCAAACCCCACCTCCCTCACTGGACAGTGAGTCCCACAAGGGCAGGGACTGGCCTGCTGAGTCATGGTGCTGCGTCACATCTGAAGATTTACAAACGTCTGCTGAATGAATGAATGTGTGGGAACACTTTGGGTGCAGAAGAGAGTGGGCCCCAGGGCCAAAGGCTCTGATGAGGGAGGGAACATGAGTGGGGGCTGTCTGGGTGACAGTGATGGGAAGGGGCAGAAAATAGCTGGCTGGAGAGTGTTACCCTCAGGAAGAGGGCCACTGGCCAGGTGGCAAAAGCAGTGGCCTACGTCTGCCCCCACCTTACTGTGGGGACGGACATGACCAGATTTGTCACGGCAGGTCTCCTGGGCACCCTCTCAGCACCTCACATACCTGGCTCTCTCCCTCTGTTTAGAATGCTCCTCCCTCTCCTTGGCATGGACAACTCTGTTTTTGCCTTTAGGACTCAACCCAGTTCACCTCCTCAGGGGGCCCTTCTCTGACCACCCCCATACTCTACTATTCTATTACTGTATCCTGGTTAGCTCCTCAATAGCACATTTTATGTGCATCTGCAACATCATTATATGGAAAATTTAGTACATCTCACTTGGACTGTGTGGCAGGCAGAATAGGCCCTGTCTACTACTACCAAAGATGTCTCTATCCTAATCCCCAGAACATGTGAAGATGTGACCTTACTTCCAAAAAGTGACTTGGCCACTGTGATTAAGTTAAGGATCTGGATATGGGGGGATTACTCTGGTTTATCCAGGAAGGCCCAAAGGAAATAAGCGTCCTTATGAGTGGAAGAAGGAAGTTAGAGAGAGATTTGTGGATCCTACACTGCTGGTTCTGAAGATGGAGGAAGGGGCCATGAACCAAGGAATACAAGTGGCTTCTAAACTCTGGAAAAGGCAAAGAAACAAATTCTTCCCTAGAGCCTCCAGAAGGAACCAGCCCTGCCAAGAACTTGATCTTAGCCCACTGAGATCTATTTCAGACTTCCAACCTCCAGAACTATAGAAGAATAAATGTGTATTGTTTTAAGCCACTAAATTTGTGGTACTATTTTGCAGTGGCAATAGGAAACCAATAGGGCTTTCATTGGCAGTGCTGAGGATCCCCTGGCATGGGGGAAGGAGTCTGGTTCCAGCCCCGGCCCGGCCCTGCCTCTAGCTGACACACAGTCTTTGGCAAGCCACTCCTTCTCTCTGGGTCTCAGTCTCCTAATCCGTAAACAGGGAGGATATTCCGTTTTAAGCATTCTCCTTGGCATTCTGTGGTTCTCCTGAGGAACAGGAGGTGAGAAGAGTTGCAGGAACAGCAACCAAGTCCAGCTGCTATTTAAAGCCCAGGGTAGCAAACGTGGACGCTTACGGAGGCCAGGCCAGCAGGCGACTGCAGTGGGCAGTGGGAACGGGGTGGATAGGAGCATATTGTGACACCAGGCAGGAATGCCAGCCAAGTGCTGCCAGATCTCCCAGATTTTCAAGGAAAGCAAGAAATCTAAATTTGTGACTGAATCTGCTCAAAGTGTTGGCATCTAATTTCCAGTTTCTTAAAACTGTAGGCCAAGGCTGAGCATGGTGGCTCAAACCTGTGATCCCAGCACTTTGGGAGGCCAACGTGGGCAGATCACTTGAAGTCAGGAGTTTGAGATCAGCCTGGCCAACATGGTGAAACCCCATCTCTACTAAAAACACATCTAGCCAGGAGTGGTGGCATATGCCTGTAATCCAAGCTACTCAGGAGGCTGAGGTAGGAGAACTGCTTGAGCCTGGGAGGTGGAGGGTACAGTGAGCTGAGATAGTGACACCGCACTCTAGCTTGGGTGACAGAGGGAGACTCTGTCTCACAATAACAACAACAATAACAAAACTGGGGCCGGGCGCGGTGGCTCAAGCCTGTAATCCCAGCACTTTGGGAGGCCGAGGCGGGTGGATGACGAGGTCAACAGATCGAGACTATCCTGGTCAACATGGTGAAACCCCGTCTTTACTAAAAATTACAAAAAATTAGCTGGGCACGGTGGCGCGTGCCTGTAATCCCAGCTACTCAGGAGGCTGAGGCAGGAGAATTGCCTGAACCCAGGGGGCGGAGGTTGCGGTGAGCCGAGATCACGCCATTGCACTCCAGCCTGGGTAACAAGAGCGAAACTCCGTCTCAAAAAAAAAAAACAAAACTGTTGTCCAGACACCGTAAGCTGTGGGTGTCTGCTCTCTGACATGTAGTTTCTTGGAGCTTGGGACAGGGGCAAAGAAGTTCTGTTTGAGATACCGGGTCTTTGAGACATTGTGAAAACATCTAGGGACTTTGAGAAAACATCTAGGCAGTGAAGGCTGTCCTGGCTCAGAGATTCTATGTCCCTATGATGACCAGGGCAATGTCCAAGACAGCGACCCCAATCCTGTTATGATCGTACCCATCCTGTCCACACAAGGCTGTTGGACTCACAGGGCACTCTTCCTTAGCAGCCTCAATGAATCCTCAAAACCCTGAGATGTGGGCATCTTTCTCCCCATCTTCCAGGGAAGGACACTGAGGCAGGGGATGGGTGCAGCCTGGCCAAGCTCACACAGCCAGTGAGTGGCAGAACTGGAGCTCAGCTCTCCCAACCCCATTCTGAATCACACAGCTCTGCAGGGGAAAATGGGGAATCAAATCTGCCAGGCGATGCCCCAACCCATTCCAGGCCTCAGAAGGGTCCCTCCCCAGCCCCAAGCAGAGGCAGATAGAAAGCTTCTCACCAGACTCCGCTGACACAGCGCGTGGACAGTGCCCGGGGCATGATCTCCGAGCCTTGCTGCATGAAGCCCCCCACGGGAAACCACAGGCTGTTGCCCAGCGTGTACTGGTTCTCCAGGATGTGGGGGCGCGCCCGTAGGCACGGGTGCGGGTTATACCACTCGTAGGGGCTCAGCCTGTGGAGAGACATGAAGCGGTGGATGGGGCCCAAGGCCCAGGAAGGGAGGAAAAGGAGAGAAGCAAAGGAAAAAGGTGAAGTAACGGTGATCAGAAGGGGAAGAGATGGAAAAAAGGAGCAAGACGGACAAAGACACACAGAGAAGAGGCAGAGAGAGATGCACAGAGATAGAGACAGAAGAGGCAGAGAGAGACACAGAGATGCACAGAGAGAAACAGAGAAGGGAGGAGGCAAAAGAGGAAAGAGGCAGGAAGAGCAGGAAGGGGAGAGACCCAGACACAGAACCACAAAGCCCAAGTAAGAGCCACAAGAGGAAGAATGAGACCCAGACACAGGGCACAAAATCAAGAAAGGAGGGCATAGGGAATCTGAGGTCTTGAAGAGAAGGCCAAGGACGGTTCTGAGAGAGATGGTGCAAGTTGGTCCCAAAGGCCCTGGCTTGTGCCTCCTCCAGCCCCTTCCTTCCCAGTAGGCAGTAGACTCACCTGGCAGCCAGAAACAGGACACAGCTAACAGCCAGGTAGGCAAGAAGCATGAAGAGCCACACGGCAGGGGAGAAGGGGTCCAGGAAGGAGAAGTAGCCGGGCTTGCGGCCCTACAGGGAGAGGGAGTGAGACCCAGAGCTACCTGTGGCTTGAGCCTCACACCCAGCCCTTGACCCACCAGGGACCTGGGAACCTGACTGGCCCATCTGACGTCCTGGGGGAGTCTGACTCCCACTCATAGCCCCCTGCCCTGAGCCTCCATGCCAGGCCATCAGCCCACAGTCTCCAGCGGAACCATACCATGTGCACTCGGTAAAGGATGCTGATCCCCAGGGTCATGAAGGGCTTGGAAAAGTCGATGACCTTCTCTCTCTCGGCTGTGATGGTGAAGGCGGCCACAGCCAGGTCTGCCTTCTGCTGGAGAGGAAGCCGGGCAGGGGTGGAGGGGGGCAGAGGGGAAGACAGAAGTGGACAGTTAAAGAGAAATGCATGGAGAGTGAGCGACTGAGGGAGGCGAGAGAGAGGTAGGGAGGGGAAGGGGCCAGGAGCCTGGACTGACTCCAGGAGCCCACCTTGGGCCTGAAATCAGACCCTCATCACATGTCCATCCTCATCATCTCACGTCTCCAGGCACCCTGACTCTGTCCCCAGGCCTCAACTGTGCCCCAACATCAAGGGCTGGGTGGGGATGGAAGGGTTCCCCAAACTCCAATTCAAGCAGCAACTTCTCCCTAGGGCCATAAAAGAGCCAAGGTCCTGAAGGGGCTGAGACTGACAGCACTCGAAATAACACAGGCCTGGATAGAACACAGAGCAGGAAGAGAGGATGCAGGGCCCAGAAATGACCCCGGGGTGAGGAGTAAGGGTGCAAGTCAGTGTCTACAGCCAGTGGAGACATAACCCAGGCCCTGGCCCAGTGTACAGTCAGGGAGACAGGGCACAAGCCCAAAACAGCATCCTGGTCAGGAGATAACACCGGTACCAAAGCACAACCCTGGATGAAGGAGAGACAACCCAGGCCCAAAACTTTGACTGGAGTCAGAAATAGATGGCACAGGACCCAAATACAAACCCAAGGTCAGTGAGAGATGGCACAAAAGGTAACCACGAGGTAGAGAGAAGTGGCACAGGCTGAAAACAAAACCCAAGGTCAAAGGGAGAGCAGAGAGGCCCAATGGGAAATCCAGGGTTGGGGAGAGAGGACATAGACCCCAAAGATGACCCCAAACAGAGAGGGAGATGGCACAGGCTAAACAGCTAAAGCCAGGTAAGGGAGAAATGGCACCAGCCTCAATATAGCCACAGAGCAGAGCGAGACAGCACAGCCCTGAAAGCATCATCCAGAGGCGGCAGTGTGGCAGGGGCCCAGAATGTAGATTCAGAGAATCTCTCTGGGAATTCCTGGGTGTCAAGAGTAGGGAGCTTCTATCCCCTTTCTTGTACACTTGCCACTTTCATGACTAATACATGAATCATCATGGGAATTATCACAGCTAATGTAGGACTCCAATTATTTTAAGCACCCACTAGGGGTCTGTTCTGGCAAGGCCATCCGTGGTGGCCACATTCTCATTTCAGAGAGGAGGAAGCAATGGCCTTTCAGGTGGGCTCCAGTCCTGGGGTCAGCACTCAAGACTCCACTTCCTCCTGAAAGCCTAAGGGCCCCCCATCCTTTGTTCCCACACTGGCCTCCTCCTCACTCACTCCTGGGGCCATCCCTTGGGCCAGATACCTGCCTCTTGCTGGGCTAGGCAAGGACAGCGGCTAGGCAAGGACAGCAACTCTGCTCCCAAAACACTCCTCAGATCTGTTCATTTCTTTATACCTCCACCACCTAGGCCTCGGTCACTGGTATTTCACTCCTGACCACAGCACTGGCCACCTCACCAGCACCCCCTGCTACCACTCATAACCTCCCAATAAATTCCTCACATATAAGCTAAGGGGGCAGTCTCCTGTATAAAACCTGCTATTGCTTCCCTCAACACCTAAGACAAAACCCTCTCACGGCCAAGAGGCCCTGGCGACCTGGGGCTTAGCTGCCCAGCCAGCCTCCCCTCACATCCTCTGTCTTGCCAGCTCTGCTCCAGCCATGATGACTTGTTCTTTCCTCAAAACAGCAGGCTTATGCCCACCTCAGGGCCTTTGCAGCACATGTTCTCCCCCCAGCTCTTCTTCCCCATTCCAGGCTCTCATCACACCCACCTCTTCAGCCCTCCCCCAAAGCAGCCTCCAGATCACCTCACCCCCACCCAGGTTCCTCTCTCACATTCCCCATGCCCCTCCCGCCTTTTTTTTGTGGAGACAGAGTCTTGCTCTGTCACCCAGGCTAGAGTGCAATGGTTCAATCTCATGTCACTGCAACTTCCGCCTCCCAGGTTCAAGTGATTCTCCTGCCTCAGCCTCTCAAGTAGCTGGGATTACAGGCACATGCCACCATGCCCGGCTAAGTTATGTATTTTTTGTAGAGAGGGGGTTTCACTGTATTCCTGTATTCGTCAGGCTGGTCTCAAACTCCTTGACCTCAGGTGACTTGCCCACCTTGACATCCCAAAGTGCTGGAATTATAGGCATGAGAGTTATGTATTTTTTGTAGAGATGGGGTTTCACTGTATTCCTGTATTTGTCAGGCTGGTCTCAAACTCCTTGACCTCAGGTGACCTGCCCACCTTGGCATCCCAAAGTGCTGGAATTATAGGCATGAGCCACTGCACCTGGCTCCATCGTCTTGTTCTTAGCACGAATGAAGATGGCCTTGCTTGGGTGCTTAGTAATGGGCTGTCTTCATTCCATTACAGGTTCCTTGCCTGTCTGGCTGAGTGGGGCAGCCTAGAGCCTGCAAAGAACAGGTTCCCAACAGATCCTGCTCTCGTTTGATCGAGTATAGTCTTTCTGAATGGCATCCCAGGCAGCCAATGCCTCCCCCACCACATTCCTGGGCTACTCACCACCCCTCTCTCTCGTGCCAGCTTCTTTCTGGCTATGCCTGAGGTGCCTATCTACCCTGCAGAGCTGGATCCCATCCATCCCTCCAGGGACCCTCATGCCTTCGCTCCACTCCAACTCCCTGGACACCACCTGATCTCAACCTCTCATTCAATTTGGAAAATATCTGTTTCTCCTCTGCCTCTGCTGCTAAACCACAGGCATTCCAGAGACAGGGCCAGCTGGACATGTCATATGTCTCTGGCACCACTCGGGGGCCAGCTCAAAGCAGGATCTGCTGTGTCTCATGTCCCACCCACCTCTGCTGAAGCCCAGGAATGTGGCTGCTTTCTCTGGGGCCCTCCCAGATGCTCCCAGATGCAGAGACCTCTTCTTCCCTGGTGCCACAATGGAACCTCACGCAGTCAGACGCTCACCCACACAGCACTTGCCCCATGTAGTCACTGTCACAGGGTTTTCCCCGGAGTAGCTTGTTTGGTCCCCAGAGCAACCCAATGCAGAGGGACCTCCATTCTCACCATTCTACACATGAAGAAACTGAGGCACAGAGACTAAGTATCTTGCTCTAATTGACCCCTGGATTTGGAACCACTCCCCTCTTAGGGGCTTTATCTGCCTGCTGCCCTGGTCTCTCCATGGATGGGGGTGTCTGAAGTCAGGCCCAGGTAGGTGACTCCTCCCTGGATCCCAGGGAATTTAAGAAATGATGGCTGACTGATCAGAGGAGTCAGTGAGTCTTCGAACCTCTGGCCAATATGGTGGTGTCAGCGGCCTCCACCCGCTCCCTGACACTGCTCCACATCCAGTCTTCCATCCAGTACCATCCCAGGCAGAAGCATGGGGGTTCTGCCTCTACCTCACCCTTCACTGCATCCATCCTCAAGCTCCCTGATTTTGACCCCTAAACACCTCTGGAACTGAGTCACTGTCCTCTGCCGCCATCGCCCACATCTGCCTAGGCCACATCTCTGACTGAATAGCTGGTCTCTGCCTCCCAGGACACACAGCCTGCCGCCCCAGAGATCCCAACATATGACAGCCTGGTCACAGTACTCCCCTGCTTAGATTCTGCAATGGGCAGGGCACAGTGGCTCATGCCTATTAACCCAGCACTTTGGGAGGCTGAGTCAGGAGGACTGCTAGAGCCAAGAGTTAAAGACCAGCCTGGGTAATGTAGCAAGATCCCATTTCTACTAAAACTAAAAGTAAATAAATAAATTCTGCAATGACTCTGCTTGTTCTTATTTTTATTTTTAGAGATAGGGTCTCACTTTGTTACCCAGGCAGGAATGCAGTGGTGCAATCATAAATTACTGCAGCCTTGAACTCCTCAAGTGATCCTCCCACCTCAGCCTCCTGAGTAGCTGAGACTACAGGTGTGTGTCACTATGCCTAATTTTATTTATTTATTTATTTTTGAGACAGAATCTCACTCTGTCACCCAGACTAGAGTGCAGTGGCACAATCTCTGCTCACTGCAATCTCTGCCTCCCAGGTTCAAGCCAGTTTCCTGCCTCAGCCTCCCAAGTAGCTGGGATTACAGGCACATATCACCATGCTTGGCTAATTTTTGTATTTTTAGTATAGACATGGTTTCACCTTGTTGGCCAGGCTAGTCTCGAACTCCTGACCTCAGGTGATCCACCCACCTTGTCCTCTCAAAGTGCTGGGATTACAGGCATGAACCACTATGCCCGGCCTAATTTTGTTTATTTCTTATAAAGACCAGGTTCTGGCTATGTTGCCCAGGCTAGTCTCAAAATCCTGGGCTCAAGTGATCCTCCTGCCTTGGCTTCCCAAACTGCTGGAATTACAGGCATGAGATACAGCACCTTGCTCTTCTTATTACTACTATTGGTTTTGTTTTGTTTTTGAGACCAAGTCTCGCTCTGTAGCCCAGGCTGGAGTGCAGTGGCGCTCCTCTGCCTCCCAGATTTAAGCGATTCTCCTGCCTCAGCCTCCTGAGTAGGTGGACTACAGACGCATACCACTACACCTAGCTAATTTTTTACTTTTAGTACAGATGGAGTTTCACCATATTGGCCAGGCTGGTCTCAAACTCCTGACCTCAGGTGATCCACCTGCTTCGGCCTCCCAAGGTGCTGGGATCATGGGCCTGAGCCACTGTGCCTGCCCCTACTTTTATTATTATTATTATTATTGGAGATGGAGTCTCACTCTGTCACCAGCCTGGAGTGCAGTTGCACAATCTTGGCTCACTGCAACCTCCACCTCCGAGGCTCAAGCAATTCTCCTGCCTCAGCCTCCTGAATAGCTGGGATTACAGATGCACACCACCATGCCCAGCTAATTTTTGTATTTTTAGTAGAGATAGGGTTTCACCATGTTGCCCAGGCTGGTCTCGAACTCCTGACCTCAGGTGATCCACCTGCCTTGGCCTCCCAAAGTGCTGGGAATACAGGCGTGAGCTGCCGCACCCCACTGCCTTGTTCTTAAACTGTCATCCACAT